ATGGCCGGCCAGGGCTGGAGACCCTGGGTCAGGCGCCTGAGGGAGACCTGTGTGGGGACCGAAGAGCCCGGGGCTCATGGCATTGCTGGCTGGGCAGAGGGCTTCGTGGTTTCCTGGACAAGGACTATCTGATGGAGGAGGACCAGAGCGCCCCACGTGGGCCATCTCCTCGGGGAGTGGGAGTTGGTGCTGACCCAGGAAAGATCCCCTGTGAGCTCTCCCCTCCATCCTCCTTGCAAGCACCGGCTGCCACATCATGAGGAGCATCCTGGAGAGACAGATTCCTCCCACCTGCTCCTCTGCCTGCCCTGAGCCTGAGGCACTGCGCTGGGCCCCTTCCCCTCCCGGCCAGACCCCTCTCCTCCCGCCCAATCGCTGTCTGTTCTGATGGCCTTATGGGGAGATGGGCTGGACAACAAGGTCTGCCCAGTGGGCATCCCCATTTACTGGGCATGTGAGGGGCGATTCAAGGCTGGAAGGGGCGAAAAAAGCCAGATGTGGGAGGTTGGGATGGGAATCATGGGTCACACGGGAAGCCACCTTTGTGCCTCCCCCTCCACATCCCTTCACTTGTGGCAGAAAGGGGGGTGGGGTAGTGTATTGGAGGACAGAGTGAGTGGTCCAGGTGGCTGGAGATTCTATGGTCTCTCCAATTAGTTGGTTCTCAGACCCCAATGTGGTCTCACACACAGGCCCCAAGCGAGAGGAAGTCACTCTGTGTGAAGGAGCTGGAGGGAGGGGACCCACGAACCCCTACCCACCTGCCAGGATGCCTACCACCTGGTGGGGTGCTGAGCTGCCCTCCGGCCAGGCTGGAGAGAAAGCCACCCCATTGATCCTAACAACAGCTTAGTGTTCAGGGAGCACTCACTTTACACTCATTTACTCATTTAGCCCTCAAATCACCACAGAAAGGTTTTAATGTGCCCATTTTACAGATGAGTGAGCTGAGCTTAGTCAAGGTAAGAGGTTTGCCCAAGAGCACCCAGTGACGAAGCTGAAGGGTATATATAGGGTTAGGCCCCCGATCCGCAAGCACCCAGGCCCGCAGACAGGAGATGGCGAGTCCAGGAGCAGAGCCAGCTCAGTGCTGTGCCTTCCCCACCCTCCCTACCCTTCCTCCCCACTTCCCACCTCCCATACCCATGCTTCCCCACCCTCCCCACCCCTCCAATGGAAACTTGCTCCTCTGCACCGGTGGCCTGAAGCCAAAATATCTTCCCTCTGTTTACACTTTGCCTTGTGGTAGACGCTGAGGAGGCAGATGGTCTCTCCACCCTAGTGTTATATTGATTTTTAGCACTTTTTGATCTGCAGCACATTTTAAAGTGACTTATCACACTTGCTCTGACAACAACTGGGTGAGGAATGCAGGGATAGGGACAATTTTATTAACCCCTTTCACAGGTGATAAAACTGAGGCCGAGCAGGTTGGGCGACTAGGGGGCAGGTGGAGAGCCCTCCTCCCGGGAGAGTTTGCACCGGGAAGCTCTCCCCCCACAGTCCCAGTCAAGCTAAAACTTATGTCGGCCAAAACTTATCCGGATTGCGGATTGTGTATGAGTGGCAGCTGCAGATTGCGCCCCCAGGAAAGGGGCAGCTGGGCAGTGTCCCCATTGAATTCATCCTCGTGTCCCCATATCAGCTCTCCCATCACCTCCGGCCTCACAAGCCCTACTCACAGGCCTGGAAAGGCTCTCAGGCAACCTAGGTGGCCTGCCTGGCTCCTGCTCACCTGGGCAGAGACCACCTGACCCTCCTGGCTCCCCCCTCCCCCTGGGCTGCAGGGTGGCTCTCAGAAGCTGGAATGTGGAACAGAAAGGCGGGAATCGGGAATGGGAATCAAGAATGAGGGTCACGCCCATGGCCCTGGGTGTGGCTCCGGGGCAGGGGGCAGCCCCATTTCCCACAGCAGGGTGGTGGCTGGGTTAAGCCATGGAGGTTTAGAGGTGACCAACTAGGCAGGGAATCTGACAAGAAAGAAAGAAGGATGCCAGTAAGCCGTGTGGAGTATTCCTTTAACGGGGAGACACACCCAACGTGTGCCCAGCCAACCCCAATTCCCGACTCTCCATACAAAACCAATTACCCTTCAACTTTCCCCCAGTGACTTGGAAATCCCGTGTGGACCTCAGCCCAGCCCTGCCCCGAGCCTGTGTATTGCACCAGTCCTGGGCATTTGAACGTGAAATGAATGGGTTCATGAGCTAGACCAGCGGTTCTCAACCTGTGGGTCGCGACCCTTTTGGGGGTCGAACGACCCTTTCACAGAGGTCGCCTAAGACCATCGGAAAACACATATACAATTACATACTGTTTTGTGATTAATCACTATGCTTTAATTATGTTCAACTTGTAACAATGAAAATACATCCTGCATATCAGATATTTACATGACGATTCCTAACAGTAGCAAAATTACAGTTATGAAGTAGCCACGAAAATAATTTTATGGTTGGGGGTCACCACAACATGAGGAACTGTATTAAAGGGTCGCGGCATTAGGAAGGTTGAGAACCACTGAGCTAGATAGAGATGAGGCGAGCTCGCTTTACAATCAGCCTCTGGGGCATCTGCTCTTTTATAAACAAATCGGTGGATGAGCGAAGCCCCTGCCATTTGCAGAGCTTAGGCCTCTGACAGGCCTTCCTGTGCATGACCTCATCTGATCCTCACAGGGATGGGGAGCCTGAGGCCTGGGGCGGAGGGGCAGGGCGGGATGCAAGCCCAGATCTCCAATCCTGGAACTGACATTCACACTTCAAACACTCTTAGGAAATGTTCTTAAAGGGAGAGACTGAATTTTGAGCTGGTCAAAGCCATGGCAGTCCCCCCAGGGCAGCAGCGTTCTGAGAGCCAGTGCCCGCGAGCAGGGCCCGCTGGGCAGCGTGTCTGGCCCCCCAGCGCTCAGCGACGGAGCTCTGAGCTCAGCAGAAGGCTGGGAGGTGGGAGAAATTTAAAAATCACACACACTTGGGACCCACCCTAAGAGAGCGTACGATTGGGCAGAAGCTTCTGGAAGGCAGCAGCATGAGAAAGCGTGACCTTGGGCTTTGGCAGGGGAACGGTGAGTCCCCGAGGAGTTCAGGATTTAGGACAGGACAGTGCACGCCAGAGCTGCGCTGTCAGGACTTCCCTCCAGGGCCAGGCCCCAGCGGGAAGAGGCGTTGCCGGGTGAGAAAAGCCCTAGAAATGAACGCTATTTCCCCGAGAAAGAGGCGTGGCGGCTCGAAGGCCCACGAGCACACAGGGTGGTTCTGCACAGGCTAAGAGAAAGGGAGTTAACAGACCCAGTCGCTCCTGGGAGCAGCGCCCCCAGCTTTTCCTAGGGAGCCCCCATCTGCCGTGGGAGGGGCCTGGCCAGCCCCCCAGGTCTGAATGTAGAGGCTCAGGACTGTGGGCAGACCCTAGCTTCCTGAAGGGTGTGGGAGGGAGGGCGGTGGGGTGAGGAAGGCCTGTGTTCATTTCTGAGGGAAGGAGTGGGGGGCTGGTGTGCAGGCAGAGCTGTGACTCACCCGTGACCCTGTCACTCCTGCCCACGAGGCCTGGAGCCACTGAGAAACACCCCTGGCAAGGCCTGGGTCACCCACAGAGTGGGCTCCTGCTGGAAGCTCTGGACCGGTTTCCTGCTTAACTCGGGGCCCAGGACCCGGCAGAGGCTGTGCTGACAGCGAGGCCAGGAAACTGGGGAGCCTCTTTGGGGCAGGGCTTCTCCCATCGTGAGAGAGTGTTTATTTCAGGTTTCTGGGGGATAAGAAAATAAATGCCCAAACAAAAAGTTTCAGGGTCACAACAATTGGGGCTTTTAAAAATGTTTGTATTTAGTATAGTAATGCTCTAACTGCCTCCTTAAAATTGATATGCAAAATGATGGTGTTATCTATATCATAAAAGCCTAAGCAACCCTTATGGCAGAACGACTAGAATGACCGGTCGCTATGATGCACACTGACCACCAGGGGGCAGACGCTCAATGCAGGAGCTGCCCCCTGGTGGTCAGTGAGCTCCCACAAGGGGAGCGCCACTCAGCCAGAAGCCGGGCTCACAGCTGGTGAGCACAGTGGTGGTGGCAGGAGCCTCTCCCTCCTCCATGGCAGGCAGCGCTAAGAAGCAGTGAGCAGGTGGGCAGTAAGGAGCAAGGGGTCCTGGACTGTGAGAGGGCGCAGGCTGGGCCGAGCCCCCCGCCCCCAGGGCACATATTTCATGCACCAGGCCTCTAGTTGTCAAGAAAATTACCGGACTTTTGAAATATTAATTCATGGTTCATCAAGTGGTGTTGGTCCGGCCACAAGACTCCAAGTGTAGTTTTACGATGACTGTCTTCCCTTTCCCGTCCTCTCAGTGTGTCCCTGGGACTGTTGTAGCCCTGACTGTAGATAAAGTGAGAATCCAACAGCAGCTCCTTTGTGACCGGAGGCCCAGGAAAAGGGGCCCTCTTGGTCCCCGTTGGGGAGCCGGCCTGGGCAGAGACCACTTTAGAGGGAGGTGGAGAGGCAACAGAGGCTGCAGGCAATCTCTTCCCTGCTTCCTCCTAGCCCAGTGGTCAGCAAACTCATTAGTCAACAGAGCCAAATATCAACAGTACAACGATTGAAATTTCTTTTGAGAGCCAAATTTTTTAAACTTAAACTATATAGGTAGGTACATTGTTATTAACTTAATTAGGGTACTCCTAAGGCTTAGGAAGAGCCACACTCAAGGGGCCAAAGAGCCGCATGTGGCTCGCGAGCCGCAGTTTGCCGACCACGGTCCTAGTGTGTCTGTCTGCCTCCCCTCCCTCCCTCCCTTCTTCCTTCCTGTGCTCAGGGTACTATATATACGGGCTTACACAGGCACACAGAGCACGTACAAACATGAGTTTGCCTCTGTGTATGGTATAGAAGTGTGTGTGCACAGAGAAGTGTGTATGTGTGTGTGTGCACAGAGAAGTGTGTATGTGTCTGTATGCAGAGAAGTGTGTATGTGTGTGCACAGAGAAGTGTGTATGTGTGTGTGCAGAGAAGTGTGTATGTGTATATGCAGAGAAGTGTGTGTGTATGCAGAGAAGTGTGTATGTGTGTGCAGAGAAGTGTGTGTGTGTGTGTGTGTGTGTGTGTGTGTGTGTGCGCGCGCGCGCACATGTATGAGGCTGGAAGTCAGGATGTGCATGTGAAAAGTGTGGGAGACTCCCTCCGACCCTCCAGGCTTGCACTCTGCCTTCTCTCCTGTTTCTTTTTACATTCAGCTCCTTCGGAGCACCTGGCTGGGAACTGAGCAGCTGGTGAGGGGCTTCTATTGTCTTCCTCTGAGCAAAGCCCGCACTGAGTCAGCCACTTGTGCAGGCAGGAGTCTCAGTGGATGTGGGCTCAAAGGAAAGAGAGCGGGCGGCCTGGACAGAGGCAGTGATCACAGGGTCTGGATGCAGCGGGGGACACACTCCAGCCCAATCTATCTCAGAGAACCCCAGGAAGCCTGCATCCCCAGGGTGTCCCAGATCCCTGAAGGGGACGGGGCAGACACAATTGTGAAGAAGCAGCCAGAGTGGCCTGGAGAAGCAATGTGGGAATGACAACCTGATCTGGAGACCAGAGGGCTGTCACAAGGATGAGGGCTCTGGGGAGGGGATGGTACATGAACCCCCTTCCCGGGCCCTTCCCAGCCAGGCCAGGGGAGAGGCCTGTGGGAGCTGCCACTATGCGTCTGCTAGCCTGAGTCTATTGCTATTTCCCCAGCTTAGTTCAACTAGAACCACATGGTCCTATTGGGGACAATGAGAAAGGCAACCCCAAAATATCCTCCAGCAACCTATCCCCTGTCACTGGGGCTAGCAGGAAGCTCTTCTTGGTCCCTCCACAGACCAACTCCAGTGCATAGAACAGCCATGCCTCCCAGCCCGTGTGGCTCCCTCCGTTGGTTGAGCACCATCCCATGCACAGGAGGTTGTGGGTTTGACTCTGGTCAGGGCACATGCCAGGGTTGTGGCCTTGAGCCTTAGTGGGGCCTGTGCAGGAGGCAGCCAATCGATGTTTCTATCTCTTTCCCTTTCCCTTTCTCTCTCTGAAATCAATAAAAACACATTTTTAAAAAGAGAGAGGGAGAGAGCAGCAATAACAGGCCACAAGAAATGAAAGTGGTTTCCCCACAGCTTTCAAGCTCTTCCTTGTTTTCTTTCCAGAAGCCTCCACATCTGTGGGGGAATTCTTGGTGTGTATCCTGCTGGCAAGGGCCAGTGTTCGCTGAGCCGAGTGCAGTGGGTGAGGGACAAGCAGGGGGGACACACACGTGTCTGAAGCACTTTCCTTCCTTCCCAGGATCTCCACGGGCCCCGCCCTGGAAGGCAGGAGCCCTGGCCCTGCTATGAAATAACTTCCTGGCCTCGGCAGCCACTTCCTCCCTCCAGTACTCAGTGTTTATAAACAGTAGAGTCTGCACGTCATTGGTGGATTTCAAACCAGTTTTTAGCAATGCAACTTTATTTTTCAAATGAGTGCTTTGGTTAAACATAGATTGATATAGATATAGATAGATATAGATATAGATATAGATATAGATATAGATATAGATATAGATATAGATATAGATATAGGTATGGATGTGGATGTGGATGTGGATGTGGATGTGGATGTGGATGTGGATGTGGATGTGGATATAGATGTAGATATAGATATATATCAGATTAAAATAACACAGAGCTGCTCAGGTTGGCACAGGAGTGAGCTGGGTGCCCCAGGGCCAGCTCCTTGGCCTCCCTCCCTCCATAGAAATGGGGGCACCATTGAAAACCATTGAGCTGTGTGATCTCTAAGGACATGTCTGGATTGTAACCCCCCAGGACTCCATGGCTCATATGCCCTAACTCCCTCTTACGAGGACAGGACTGATTTTCTCGAGCTGCAGAAGGGGAGCCTGGGGGCTGGAGGGCAAGCGCGGGACTCCTGCTTCACCGCCCGGTGTGATTTCTGCAGGAGGGCTCCCTCCCAGCGTGGGCTGAGCACATTGGGTGGCGAGGCCTCTGGCAGGGAACCCAGGCCCTCGAGCCCTGGTTACTTTCTCACCTGCTAGATACAGGCGAACAGGGAGATCCTCCCACAGGCCCCTCCAGAGCCCCCCGGAAGCCGTCCCGGCCACTTGAACTGCAAAGTCATGGCCTCTAATTGCTGAGGCCCAACTGGCTAATGACCTTCCGCATCTCTCCCTGCAGGTGCATCACCCGGATCATGAGGTCATCTCTCTCCTTGCTCCTCCCACTTCTCCTCATCTTGGCCTCAGTGACCAAAGGTCAGCCAACAAGACGACCAAAACCCGGGGGCAGGCCCAGGCCCAGGCCGAGGCCCAGGCCCACACCATCGAAGCCTACCGACCTGCCTCCTCCCCTCCCGCCAGGCCCTCCGTCTCTCTTTCCTGACTGTCCCCGGGAATGCTACTGCCCCCATGACTTCCCATCTGCCCTCTACTGCGACAGCCGCAACCTCAAGAAGGTGCCTGTCATCCCGCCCCGCATCCATTACCTCTATCTCCAGAACAACTTCATAACCGAGCTCCCAGTGGAGTCCTTCAAGAACGCCTCGGACCTGCGGTGGGTCAACCTGGACAACAACAAGATCAGCAAGGTGGACCAGAAGGTGCTGGAGAAGCTACCCAGCCTGGCGTTCCTCTACATGGAGAAGAACCAGCTGAAGGAGGTGCCCTCCGCCCTGCCCCGGAACCTGGAGCAGCTGAGGCTGAGCCAGAACCAGATCTCCAAGATCCCCCCGGGGGTCTTCAGCAAGCTGGAGAACCTGTTGCTCCTGGATCTCCAGCACAACCAGCTGAACGACAACGTCCTCAAGCCTGACACCTTCCAGGGCCTCAAGAAACTCATGCAGCTCAACCTGGCCCACAACGAACTGAAGAAGATGCCCCCCAAGGTCCCCAAAGCCCTTCACCAGCTCTACCTGGACAGCAACCAGATCGCGACCATCCCTAACGGATACTTCAAGGCCTTCCCCAACCTCGCCTTCATTCGCCTCAACTACAACAAGCTGTCCGACAGGGGGCTCCCCAAGAACTCCTTTAACCTCTCCAACCTGCTGGTGCTCCACCTGTCCCACAACAAGATCAGCAGCGTGCCTGCCATTAACAACAAGCTGGAGCACCTGTACCTCAACAACAACCACATCGAGAGTGAGTGGGGAGGCGGGGCCAGGCCCGGGGCGGGAGGCTGGGGACTCACCACATCAGCCTGTTCTCAGGAGCCTCAGGGTGGGGGTGCGCAAGAGACACCCTGCTTGACACTGGACTTCAAACCATGGCCTTATCACTCGCTATCTGCATGAGCCTGGACAGATAGTTGGCCTCCCTGGGAAGTTCCCTCCTCTGTAAAGTGAGAATGGTAATAATATCATCAACTTGGTATGAGGATGTAGTCGTTTAACGTGGATGCCATGCCCCGAATGCCATGGCTGGAGGGTGCTCGCTTCTCTTCCTCCATCTCTTCTCATCAGCCCCAACTCCTTTGCCCTCCAGATCTGTCGGTAGGGTGGACACGGAATACAGTCCTGGACATTCTCCTAAAAGCACAACAGTGACATTTACATGCCCACTCTGAAAAAAAATAAAAAATAAATGCCCTCTCTGAAATGCCCGGGCCTGTCCGCCGCGGACACTGGCAGCTGAGTGAGATGGCATCCCCCCAAGTCTGCGCCCAGCTTCTGAAGCATCTGTAAAAGGTATACACAGAGAGGCAGCCGGACAGGGTGGGCAAAAGTAGGTTCATAATAATGATCAACAATACAATAATAAATAAATAAATAAATAAATAAATAAAACTACAGAATAAACGCTGTTTCAACTGTAAGCCTGCTTTTGCCCACCCCTGTATATGCAGGATCTGCTCCTGGTGAAAATGCGGCAGCCAGGAAAACACGCTGGTGTGGGGGGCTTTCTGAGTCTGTCTGGGGAGCTGGAGTAGTTAGTTGTGTAAGACGGTTCGCTGAAGGCAGGACTCCCCTCGGCTGCTTTTACAGGGTCCTGGGCTGTGGGGTATCCATTGCAGCCCCAAAGAACAGACTAGTTTTGCTTCCATCAGCAATGTCAGCTCTGAGCTGAGCGTCAGGAGAAAGGCTTAACATCAAAAGCACCAGTATGACCTGGCCATTGAAGCACATCAGGGGTGCAGCCGCTGCAGGGATGAAGGGGCCAAAGGGAAAGGGAAGCTCCCTTCAAATCACCGTAGGAACCCTTAGTTGCCCAGCCCAAGGGGGTGAGGGAGATTGTTGAATGTCTACAACCTGGAAGCAAGTGGTGGGGAGAACAGGCTTTGCTCACTCGTCTGGGATAATTACACAGTGAGAGGGGCTTCTAACATCTGGCAAGAAACACATTCAGGGAGTAAACGGAGGCCGCTCATTGCTCCCCGGGATGCTGGAGAGGCCGAAAGTATAGCCAGAAGCCACATAACTGACAGGTCGTCCCGGTAGAAGAACAGGCTGCTGAGGGCGAAATCGGAAAAATCAATCCACTCTCACCGTGTCGCCGGTTCGGGAGCTGAGCATCAGGGCGGTCCCCTGACGGGCCTACGTGACAGAGGCTGTAAGAAAATCCCTGTGTCAGGCTCTCTCTGCTGCCCCAGTGGTGAAGAGAGAAAAACAACGGCCCCGCGGATGATAAATGAGACCAGGCTTAGGGGAACAAAACTTCATTTTGTTGTTGCATCTGATGTCATCTAGCAAGAGGTGAAGGAGAAAATGAAATCTCATTTTCCACTGGAAAGCCCAGAATCAGTAATCACGTCAGAATCAATAGGCTCAGCCAGCCCCTCGGGCCCTGTGCCCTCCCCAGACCCCCTTCCCTTCCTGGCAGCCCCGTGTCAGTTACTGGGACCACCTTCTGCCCATCCACGTGCCTCAGGTCCAGGCCACAGGACCCTCCCACACCCACCTGCCGGCTCAGATCTCACCTCACCCCACTCTCTCCCCACTGCGGCTAGATCCGTCTTTCTACAGTATAAGCCTCGTGATCGGCTCCTTCCAGATTTCACCCCCAGGACACCATAGTTCACACATCCTACCATCCCTGTCACAACAGCAGCCCTGCTCAATACCAGTCCTCAGGCTGAAGGTCAAAGCCCGTCCTTAGTGAAATCGCTGAAAGCCGACCATATTTGGGGCCACAGCTCACCTTTCCAGCTCACTCTCCCTATTTCCTCACACTGTGCTGTCCACTACTCCCAGATTCTCCCGTGATCCTTTTGGCCCCCACAACTCTATGCAAATAGTTTCCTCTATCAAAACCCCAGCCCCAGGCCTCCCCCTGCTATAATCCT